GCCCCCCCGTGGCCGAAAATGGGCAAGAACCTCCCGTCTTTTTTTTTTCCCCCATATCCTAAGATGGGGTTCTTGTTATTACTTGGACGCCTCCTACTTCCTCTCCCTCCTCCTCTTTCCTCCTCCCCTCCTCCTCTTTCCTCATACTCAGACCTACTCATACTCATACTTACTCATACTCAGACTTACTCATACTCAGACCTACTCATACTCAGACTTACTCACACTCAGACATACTCATACACAGACTTACTCATACACAGACTTACTCACACCCAGACGTACTCATACACAGACTTGCTCATACCCAGACTTACTCATACACAGTATTACTCAAACTCAGACTTACTCATACCCAGACGTCCACATACACAGACTTTCTCATACACAGACCTACTCATACCCAGACCTACTCATACACAGACTTACTCATACACAGACTTATTCATACTCAGGCATACTGATACTCAGACCTACTCATACTCAGACTTACTCAACACACATCAGATTTGGAGGATGTCTCAAGCGGGGCGCTGGTTTCAGCACCCTTAAGGGGGGCCGCCAGGGGTGTTTGCACGGGCTCGTTCGCGGCCATTTTGTGGGGATGTCTCAGGCGGTTCGCCTGTTTCTGGGCTCAACATCCTTCGCTTGGAGAGCAGATTGTGAGGATGTCTCAGGCGGGGCGCTGGTTTCAGCACCCCTAAGGGGAGCCGCCAGGGGTGTTTGCACGGGCTCGTTCGCGGCCATTTTGTGGGGATGTCTCAGGCGGTTTGCTTGTTTCTGGGCTCAACATCCTTCGCTTGGAGAGCAGATTGTGAGGATGTCTCAGGCGGGGCGCTGGTTTCAGCACCCCTAAGGGGAGCCGCCAGGGGTGTTTGCACGGGCTCGTTCGCGGCCATTTTGTGGGGATGTCTCAGGCGGTTTGCTTGTTTCTGGGCTCAACATCCTTCGCTTGGAGAGCAGATTGTGAGGATGTCTCAGGCGGGGCGCTGGTTTCAGCACCCCTAAGGGGAGCCGCCAGGGGTGTTTGCACGGGCTCGTTCGCGGCCATTTTGTGGGGATGTCTCAGGCGGTTTGCTTGTTTCTGGGCTCAACATCCTTCGCTTGGAGAGCAGATTGTGAGGATGTCTCAGGCGGGGCGCTGGTTTCAGCACCCCTAAGGGGAGCCGCCAGGGGTGGTTGCACGGGCTCGTTCGCGGTCAGTTTGTTCACCGTGGCATTACCCTCCAACATGACATGCACTTATGGCTTTGTGTGGCTAAACGCGCGTCTTACATATCCCACTGCCAACTATCCTAAAACATATGCACATATGGGAAGCTCCAAAGATACCACGGGCTGACAAGGGGAAGGCCTGGCAGCTGAGGAGGGGGGATGAAGAGGAAGAGGCTCTCATTCAACCGTATTCAAAGCTCACTCTGACTCATACGCAATCACTCGCATTAGGGGTCACTCGTCTTCGTCGGCCCTGTCGCCCACGTGGACGCGCTATTGTAGTCGACCGCTCATGAACAGACGCTCACCACGGCATGACATAAAACATGAGATGAACATATGGGGAGCTCCACGCAGTGAGTATTTTTTTTGGTACGACGCGATGTCGCGTCTGGGTCCCGTCGTGGTTCCTGCCCAGCGCGAGGGTGTCTGGGCACCGCTGCGGGCCGCGCGCCCTGCCCTGCGCAGGAGCCCCGCAGCCGCCCGCAGGCCGCCGGCCCAGGGGCCAGGAGCCGGAGGCTGACAGACCTCCATCTATACCCTGACGCGTCGATCCGCGAATTGTATAGGGGAACAAGCAGTGGCATAAGCATAAAAACTCGGAGGTCCGCGCGTCTCGGATCGGCGCTGGGGCCCCCCGGCGGCGCCTCCCGCGCCGCCCCTGGCGCGCTCCGCGCGCCAGGGAGGGGGGTCCAGCGCCGATCTGAGAAATCCGCGCGGACCTCCGAGTGTTTATGTTTATGTCACTATTTGTTCCCCTAGAATTGGCCGTTTTCGGTTCGCGAGTGGGCGTCGCGGCCGTCCATTTTTGCGGGTCCAGGTCCGTCGGTTTCGGTACCAAGCCGTGTTCACCAAACTTTGAGGTCCGACGTCGCAAAAAAGAATACAGCCTCGCAGGCATCACGACCAGACCCCCCGACCCCATCTCTCTGCCTCATTTTCCGAGCGGGATCGATCTCTGAAGGTCCCGGGGCCCGAAATGGAGCGAAAACGCCCGGCTCGAAAAGATGGAGTCGCCAGGATCCCAGACCCCCGACGTCATGTTTTTTTCATGACGCGACCCCCAGAGGTCCCGACCCCTTCCCTGGGACCGGCTTTTCATCATTATACTAGTTTTTTGACGGTCCCGAGGCCCGTTGAGGGCCCCCGGAGGCCGAAAATAGCGAGAAGCCTCCCGTCGTGATTTTTTCATGACCCGAGCAGGTCTGGGAATGGAGCGAAAACGCCCAGCTCGGAAAGATAGAGTCGCCAGGATCTCAGGGAAGGGTGGCTTGCCAAAGGTCAGGAGGGCAAGAAACACACAGACACAAATAGTCGTCGATTCCCAAGAAAATATGGGAATATATATATATATATACATATATATATATATAATGACCCCATGAAAATGGATGGAGGGGACAGCGGGGTTCTGGGAGGCCGCCACGGGCTCTGTAGTCTTCTGGGTTCGAGTTTGTGCTGCAATTTCTACCCCGATTTCGGCCACGTTCGCGCGTGGCCCCTCTTCACCCTTGCAGCCGCGCGCGGCTGCGCCACCACGCCATGAGGGCCCGCGCCATGGGATGGCGTTGCGCGCCAGGCCCGCCGCCGCTGACGGCAGAGGCCGAGGCGGCGGAGGAGGGCCTCGGCGTTCGCGATCGCTGGGCCCTGCCGGCCGAGGCCGAGGCGGCGGTGGCAGGGCCCGGCACCGGCGCTCGGCGTCGCGGCCTGCCGGCGGAGCCCCGGCGCCGCCTGAGGGCCGTGGGCACGGCATGAAGGCCGCCATCGAGCCGAAGGCCTGGATGGCTCCACGTGCGGCCGACGAGCGCGACCTCGCGGAGTCGGCACCTTTCGACATTATCGAGGTGCAGGCGCTCCGCGGGCAGGCGCCGAGGTCGGGAGGAGCTGCCACGGGGCCGCTGGCCTTCGCACTCGTCGTGCCAGAGGGCCGAGGTGCGAGGGATCGCCCAGACCCGAACAGCAAGGGGTTCTTCCGGCAGGCGTACTTCCTCGGGGCCGAGGACAAGGAAATCGAGGACGATGTGGACCACGAGTTCGCCACGGAGCCAGTCGACACCGCCGTGCGCTCCGGCGTGCTGCACTTCTGCTCCGGCAGGGCGGCCGATTGCGAGGAGCGCTGGGGCCGCAACAAGGTCTACCACGTCCTCAAGTGGAGGCCGAGGGTCGATGTCGACCCAACCAGCCTCTACTTCGAGTTTCCCGAGAAGATCGGCGTGCCGGGACGGGAGGGCACCAGGACGCCCCCTCCCGAGCGGCCCCGTGGAGGACAGAGGCCGCCTCCATTTCCACCTCCCGCGGAGCCGCCGCCGCCAGAGGGCGGCCGCGCCCTGGACGATGGGCGGGAGGGCCACGCCGCGGGGGCCCCTCTCTTCTCGGATCCCGAGCGCCGGTCACGCAGTCCAAGGGGCAGGGCTGTGGGTGACCTTGCTGGCCGTGGGCGCGCTCCGGTCGAGGGCGACAGGGACGATGACCGCCGCTGCCGGGGCGACGCTCTGCGGGCGAAGCTCGAAGACGCCAGGGAGAGAGTGGCCCGCGAGCGACGCGTCGGCGCCTTCGGCGGGGCATCTGAGGAGGAGCCCCCCCGCAAGAGGGCCAGGGGCGACGGCGACGACGACCGTCACCGCCGGGGGGGCGCTCACCGGCGACGTGCTGACGCTTTCGGGGCGGGGTCTGAAGAGGCCCCCCCCCCGAAAGGGGGCCAAAGCCACGTTTGCCGACAGGCTCTACGAGCGGGCTGCGACCTACCATGCCAGCGGGGCTGATGTTGGGAAGCCGCCCGCCGACACCGAGCTCGACCTGAAGGTGGGCGATGTCGACGGGGATTTTCGCGGAGCCCCTCCCAGAGCGGCGGACCTAGCAGGGTTCGCTCGCCGTCACCCGGGTGCACTTCTCGAGCGGGCCCTGCAGGAGATGCAGCGGCACCTTGCACCTCTGAGAGGGGCGTCCGGCAACGACGCCGAGTACGGGAAGATCACGAACTACTTGGTCAGCGTGTTCTGCCAGCGCCACTCGAAGGAGAGCATTGGCCTGCGGTCGAGCCGCGAGCTCCGGACGCTTTCCGAGGCGCTGGACGCCCTCCTCTCGGGCAACCTGCCGCGGGTCGGGGACCTCCTTGTCCAGCGTTTCAAGGCCTTGGAGGCCTCGGTCGCGGACGGGAGTTGGACGATTGCCCGCCACCTGGAACTTCTTCCGCAGGAGGATGTCGGCCTGTCGTCGGGCGGGGAGCGTGCAATCGCAACGCGGTCCGAGCTCGATCGCATCCGGCTCGCGGACGCAGCTTCGAAGACGCGCGGGCGGTCACGGCCGCTCGGATAGGGAGTCGGCAGCGCCGACGGGCTAGCTCCAGCCCGCGGCGTGAGCCTGGCCCCTCGACGGGGGGGCCCTGGAGCTCCAGCGCCCGCGGGAACCGACCCTCCGAGGGCCAGAGGGCCCCAGGGCGGGAGCCGCGAAACCCTGCGACGCCGGATGCGTCGGGGTTGGGGCCGGGGTCGCGGCGCAGGTCGCGGAGCCGCTCCTGGGCCGAACGAGCGCCATGGCGGCGGCCGGAGCGCGAGCGCCGACCCAGTTTCGGGCGCCGGCGGGGCCGAGAACGGCGGCAGGGGAGAGAGCGCCTCGCTGCTTGTGGCTCGAGGGCGCCCCAGCGCGGAGCGGGCCCATCTGGCCTCCCGCGCTTCGGTGGCGCGCCTCTCCCCTACGGATCGGCAGGCCCCGCCCACCCCTGGCAGCCAGGGCGTGGTAGGGGAGCCTGGAAGCCCCTACCGCGCTCGGAGTCAGCCGGATCAGAGGTGGAGGCGATCGGCATCAGCGACATCGAGTGCGACGGCGACGTCAGCACGGCCGAAGGTGGTGCTCAAGCCAGGCGCGGGCTGCCCCCCCCGGAGGGGTGGAAGGTGAAGGAGCGTGAAGCCCTGCTCCGAATCGCAGCCGGCGGTATGTGTGCAGGGCAGGTCGGGGTGGCGCTGCTGGCCGCGCTTGCCGCCCGTGATTCGCCCTTCGGTTCTTGCGTGAGGCGCCACCTCATGTGCACGGGCCAGCCATGGCAGGGAGGGAAGCGACAGCGGGATGTCCTTCCGCTTCCTGTCCCGAGGGGCGATCCGGCGGTGGAAGCGGCCCTTCAGCGAATCCACCGTGCGGACCCTGGCAAGGACTGCCACCAAGGGCGTGCCGAGCGAGCTCGGCAGGCTACCATCGGCTCGTGGGCTTTGCTGTGCATTGTTACACTGAACTGGATGTACTGCGCCTGTGGTCGACTCTCCGGGCTGGACTGGTGTGGGCAGAGGCCAACCCTTGCCCAGAAGGCCTCTTTGGCCCACATCCTGGGCGAGTGCGAGGCGTTGGTCGACAGGGTCGATGAGGAGACTGGCACGTGGACGGCGGCGCCGTCATTGGACTTCGCCGCCGTGCTGGGGCGAAAACGGTTCTCGTATCAGGGCGAAGAGGTCTCGCTCCCAGAGGCCCTCACTCTGCAGGAGCTGCTCCCTGGGCTGCCGCCGAAGGGCGAAGCGGCCTCCGTTGACCCACTGGCGATCGCCGCGCCGGAGGTCGTTGAGGCTCTCCTTCACCCCGAGCGCGTGCGCAATCCGGACGGGTCCTGCATCGCGCAGCCGAGCATCAGGGTCCACGCCAGTCCTGGGGAGTGGGCCCTCATCGCGAGGGAGCTGCTCGACAGGGGGGTTTTCGAGGAGATCGCGTTCGGCGACATCGCAGTGGTCGGCGGCCAGCCTGTCCTCAATGGCGCTTTCGGGGTGGTCAAGTCGGGCGACCCGCTGCCCCCGGCCACCCGCGTGCTGAGGCTGATCATTAACATGATCCCCAGCAACAGGGTGCAGCGACCGATCGACGGCGACATCGCCATGCTGCCAGTTGGCGGCGAGCATCACGTTACGATTTTGGGTGACGGGGAGGTGCTTTTGTGGAGCAGCGACGACATCAAGGGGTGTTTCCACGTTTTCAGGCTCCCCGAGGTCTGGAGGCCGTGGATGGCCTTGTCGGCCCGGGTCGACCCCGTGGCCCTCGGGAGGGCCAGTGGGCCCCCCGTGTGGGTTGCCGTGGCGGTCGTCCCGATGGGCTGGCTATCCGCCGTGGGCATCGTCCAGTACCTCTCGCGCCGAATCGTTCTACAGGGAGCGCCCGGGCACGCCTGCCCGTCCGAGTCCACGGAGCTCCGGCGGGACGCGGCTTACCCTCTGCAGCTCCACCAGCTGCCGAGGGCCTGGTGGAAGGTGTACGTCGACAACCTGGATTTCGGCGAGATCGTGGCGGAGTCGGAGGTGCGCAACTTCGTGGGCCAGGTCTCCATCGAGCAGCTGGCTGTACGGCACTCTTTGGATCGGTGGGGCATCCGCCGCAACGAATCGAAGGCCGTCGAGCGGGCGACGGCGGCGGTGAGCATGGGTTCCGGGGTCGACGGAGTCCGAGGCCGAGTGGCCCCATCGCTCCCCAAGCTGCTCCAGCACCTCGCCTTGACCGCCTGGGTGCTCACGAGGGCGGACTGCCGAGGCGTGTGGGTGGCAGCCGCAACAGGGCGGTGGTGTTTCGATTTTGGTCACCGGCGCGCTGCTTTCGGCGTCCTGGACCAAATCTGGCGTGAAATCGCCCACTGGAAGGGCTATGGGCCCGTGTCCAGGCAGGGTGGCGACGAACTCATCATGGTCTGTTCGCTCGCGCCGCTGCTCGCGACCGACCTGCGCGCCCATCTTTTCCCTTGGCCGCTTGCAACCGATGCATCGGAGCATGGCGGCGGCACCTGCATTGCCACTGGGGTGACTCGTGCCGGCTGGGAGGCGGCGTCGGAGGCTCACCAAGCTCCGTTTGGGCACGACGCCCGGCCTGCGCCGCCCCGGCAGGCGGCCGAAGGAGGCGCGCAGACCAGGCAGGGGGCCGAGGCCGGGGCGCGCGGCGCTCAGCCCACGCCGTCGCTGCCGGTTTCGGTGGTGCCACAGGGGCTCATCGTCTTCGAATTTTTCGGCGGTGGCGGCGGCTGGCGGCAGCCCACGACCTGTTGGGGGCCGCCGTGCTGCTCGGCGTGAAGTGCGAGAAGAACAAGGTGGCGCGAGCCGTCTCTCGCGCCGCCTGGCCCGGCAGCGTCGAGTGGATTGACATATCCAAGGTCACCCTCGACATGGTCGTGGCCGTGCGGAGGTCGACTCCGGGGGGCCACTGGCACCGCGGCGTTTTGGAGGCTGCCGTGCCAGGACATCGCAGGACTCGGGTGCCCCGGCATTGGCTTTGAGGGCACCTGCTCCTCCCTGTTCTGGGAGATCCCGCGGGTGTCACAGTTCCTTCAGGTGGTCTTCGGGGACCTGCCGTGGATCGACGTGAAGGAGTGCGTCGCCGGCCTGTCGGCCGAGGCAGGTTGCCAGATTTCGGAGGGACTCTGGAGGCACCAGATTCTCATAGACGCAGCGGGGATCTCTCGGGTGCGGCGGCCCCGGCTCTATTGGTACAACTTCCCAGTAGGGGCTGGGGTCTGCCGCCAGCAGTCGCCCGTCTTCGACGCTGTTGTTCTGGCTGCCGACCCAGAGCCCGCAGAGGTTTGGCTGGAGGCGGACGCGTGCTGGGACCTCAAGTCGGAACGCAGGCTCCCGGCATTCACGCGAGCGAGCCCTCGGGCCCAGCCACCCCCGGCCCCCGTTGAGCTCCAGGACTGCCTGGCCCACGAGCGGGCGAGGTGGCTGGCCGACGAGTGCCGCTTCCCCCCAAACGCGCGCCGGGACCAGGTCACCGTCAAGGTTGCCGTCGGCGACCGTCGCGTCGTGCGCGCTGGTGAACGCGAAGCCTTGATGGGCTTCTGGCCAGGACACACGGCACCTTCCAGACCTACGAGCGCTCGCGCCGACGACACTGCGAGGTGCACCCTGATTGGCAGCAGTTCACATGTCGGAGTGGCCAGCTGGCTGCTCGCACAGGGGCTGTTCGCGGCGGGCCTGATCGAGGCGCCCGTGTCTGCGGCGACAGTCCATGCGGCATTCGCATCTGAGCTTCGTTTGCGCCGCAGCGGCAATAACGCACGCCGAGTGCCCCCCCTGGTAGTGGGTCGAGCCGCGGTCGAGCTCAGAAGCCCCCTGCCCGAAGAGGGGGGCGAGGAGTCTGCAGCTAGGGCCTTGATGTACGGCTTCCTGCAGCACGCCGACCACCGTGGCTCGGACATTCGACTGGACGTTGGCCTGCCCTTCCGGGCGAAGGCGTGGCCTCGCGCCCCCATCGCAACCGACCGGTGGCAGTGGCAGACTGTGCTGTCTCACCAGTGGCGGCGGCTCGGCAGGCACATCAACGAGTTAGAGATGCAGGAAGTCCTCGCCGCGCTGAAGTGGTTTGCGCGGAAAGGCGACCGGCACCATTCGCGGCTAGGCATCCTCGTCGACTCGCAGGTGGTGTTGTCGATCTGCGCGAAGGGCCGGTCATCGTCACGCCGACTGAACCACTTGGTCAAAAGAATCGGCGCGCAGATCCTGGCTTGCAGCCTCTACCCCTTTCTACGGCTACATCACCAGTAAGACAAACCCGGCAGACGCCCCTTCCCGTGCAGCCCCGCTTGCCGCGCCGTTTTCGGCACCTGTGCTGCTCGCCTCCCCTGAGGGGACGACCTTTAGGTATAATCCATGCCGCCGAAACTCATTCTTGCTAGCCGTAGAAGGGAAATCCGGGCTCGGGCCCGAGGTAGCATGGGGCGCCTGCAGGATCAGGTCGTTTCGGCGGGCACCCTCAAGCGCTATAGAGCGCGAGTGGACGCTTTCCGGCTCTGGCAGAGGTCGGAGCAGGAGCCGCCTGACGACCCCCAGGACGTCGACCAATCCGTTATGGAGTACCTTGAGAAGTTGTGGTCGGAGGGCGAGCCCAAAAGCTTCGCCAATGACTTAGTTGCAGGACTGCAACACTTCACCCCGCGCCTCCGGCGTCAGCTCAACGGGAGCTGGCGTTTGTTGGGCGCGCGGGCGAGGGCAGAATTGCCAGCTCGAGCCCCCCCGCTGCCCAAAGCCGTCGCCATAGGGTTGACTGGCTATGTGGCGGCCATGCATCATTTTGATGTGGGAGTGCTGTGGCTCGTTGGATCCCATTGTTTTTTGAGGTCGGGCGAGATGCTCGGCCTCCGAGCGATGGGCGTCACTTTTGCTGACGACTTATCGATTGCTGTTCTGAACCTTGGGCTTGCGAAGACTGGCAAGCGCCAAGGCGCTACGGAGTCTGTCACAGTCACCGATCGGGTGGTCGCGCGTGCACTCCGCAGCCTGGTGTAACAGCGACAGCCGGCTGAGCCGCTCGCTCGACTGTCAGGGCCTCGCCAGAGGGCGTTGTTCAGGCAGGTATGCGGCGAGCTCGGGCTCCACGATCACGAATGCAGCTTGTGCTCTTTCAGGCGTGGCGCGGCTACCTTCGATTTCAGGCACCGCGGCCAGCTTGATCGCACTATCGTGCGCGGGCGGTGGTCTAACAGCCGCACCGCACGTGTGTACATAACTGAAGGGCTGGCGATGCTGGGCGATCTGCGCCTCTCGCCAAGCTCCAAGTCAGCGCTCTCTGCGGCCGCTTCTTTTTGGCGGCCAGGCTTGAGGGTGGTGGAAGCCGGCGCACGAGCAGGGCCCGCTGGTCTGGCGCGACGGGTGCCTCCCCCAAATGGGGTGTCTGGGCACCTTGTCGCCACTCGAGCGCCCGCGGCTTCTAGGCACTAGCTGCCTTGCTGGCCTCCCAGGAACAGAGAGCGCGAAGAGCACGACATCTATGTGTATGACCCCATGAAAATGGATGGAGGGGGCAGCGGGGTTCTGGGAGGCCGCCACGGGCTCTGTAGTCTTCTGGGCTCGCCCGCCCTCCCAGCCCGCTCGCCCTGAGTTCGAGGCTGCGCCTGAACTCTGAGAAGCCGGCGCACGAGCAGGGCCGGCTGGTCTGGCGCGACGGGCGCCTCCCCCAAATGGGGTGTCTGGGCACCCTGTCGCCGCTCGAGCGCCCGCGGCTTCCAGGCACTAGCTGCCTTGCTGGCCTCCCAGGAAAAGAGAGCGCGAAGAGCACGACATCCACATGCATATATATATATATATATATATATATATATATGGATAGATCGATAGATAGATAGATAGATAGATAGATACATAGATTGATAGATCGATAGATATGGAGTGGAGGGGAGGGGGCGACAGAAACCCCAAACATATTGAAAACTATAGGAATATTTGTATTTGTGTGTATTTATTTGCGTGTCCTGGGTCCCCTTCAAAAGGGAGGTTTGTCCACCGCCGCAGGAGCCGCAGCCCGCGCGGCGGGCGCAGCCCGTGCCGGCGCCCGGGCGGTGCCCTCGAGGCGCTGCGGGCGAGCGCGCAGCCGCGCCCCAGCGAGCCTGCGGAGCTCCCCCGACCTTTTCGGGCAGGAAAAAATGACGCCAGACTCAGGCATGATACCCAGACCCCCGACGTCATGATTTTTCATGACGCGACGCCCAGAGGTCCCGACCCCTTCCCTGGGACCGGCTCTTCATCCTGAGTCGTTTTTTGACGGTCCCGAGGCCCGGCGAGGGCCCCCCGCGGAGGCCGAAAATAGCGAAAAACCTGCCGCCGTGATTTTTTCATGACCCGAGGGGATCTGGGAACCCCCTCGGGCATGAAAAAATGACGCCAGACCCAGGCATGATGTCGCGTCGTACAACAAAAAGTCAGGGCGGGAAGTTTTTGGCCCTGTTCGGCCTCGGGGGGCCTCGCAGGGCATCGGGAGCGGCAGAAAACGGCTCGGGAGGAAAACCCAGCCCAAGGGAAAGGGTCGGGACTTCAAGGACGCCGTCCTGAACAGAAATCAGGACGTCGCTTGTCTGGGGTCACGAAAAATTGCATCAGAGAAAACCCCCAATCAGTGGATGTTCGAAGTGGGATCGATACAGAGAGATCGATCAGGAGATCGGCCGGGAACCCAGGAACCCGGGAACCCGGAACCCACCGAAATCTGACCGGAACCAGTGACCAGGAACCCGGGAACCCAGAACCGGAACCCGGGAACCCAGCCGGCCACCAAAATCGGCGGGACACTTTCGCCAAATCTTTCAATTTCCGTTAGGACCCCGTCAGTGCAAGCACTGATTGGGGAATCGTGACGGAGGGTTTTTCGCTATTTTCGGCCTTTGGGGGCCCTTGCCGGGCCTCGGGACCGTTAGAAAACGACTCAGGAGGAAAAAACGGGTCCCGGAGAATGGGTCCGGACCTATGGGGGTCGCGTCATGAAAAAAAACATGACGTCGGAGGTCTGTGTCCAGGCCTCAGCCTCCCAGGTGGAGTACCTTAGATCCGACGCTCCAGAGAAAATTGGAGCGGCGGGATTGTGGCAGTTTGGGGCCTCCAGGGGCCCTCGCTGGGCCTCGCGATCGGGAGCGTCAGAAAGCGATTCAGGACGAAAAACCGGCCCTCCGGAGCCCACGCAGCAACAAAAATTGGAGCAGCCGGATGTCTGGGAAGTGGAGTCCGAGCAAGAGAGGTCGGAGGATCGTGCCGCCTCGCCGATTCATCGGCGATGCCGCTCGATTTGGAGCCCGATGTCTCTGCGCAGACGGCACCGATGCGTCGCCGACGTCGCCGATTCATCGGCGAGGCACCGGCAATGCGGCGCGATCCTCCGATCTCATCTACTCGGACCCCCCTGTGGGGGGGCTCCAGGAGCCGCTGGAGGGCGAGTGGCTGCGGATCGCCACACGCGGCTACGGCGTTGGTGTCCTCGCGGGAACCAGCGCCGCTGGCGCGGCAGGCAGGGTCTGCAGGACGCCCTCGCCCGCGAGGACGTTGTGGTCGTCCACGGCCGCCCAGGCGGCCCCGCGCTCTGGGAGCCCGCCCAGCCCCGCCCGGCAGTGCCTCGGCGGCGACGCGGGGCGCCAGACGCCCCCCGCCTGGCCCGCACAGCCGATCGCTCAGGCTGCCGAGGCAGGCGGGTCCGCCCGGGGCAGCACGCCCTGGCCGCCCGAGGCGCCTCGCGCCAGCCGTCGGGAGGCGGCGCCCTCGCCGGAGCCCTCGGCAGCGGCTTGCGGCGCTGCCTCGCAGAGCCTCGCCCCGGCCAGCCGCTTCTTCTCCGAGGGGGCGGCGCCCCGCGCGGGCGGCGGCGGCGGAGGCTTGGTCGCAGCCCAGCCCAGCGGCGGTGACGAGCTCCAGGGCGGCGCGGCGCGAGCCTCTCCCCCTCGGGCCAGCCAGCGCGGCGGCGCCCCGCGGCGGAGTCGCAAGCGCCTCCTCTCGGAGTCCTCGGTGATGGTCCGCGCAGCGCTCGAGCTGCCCGTACCCGCCGAGCCAGGCGCGCCACTTGCGGGCGCGGGCCTTGTCGATGGCGTGGCCGGCGGCTCGGCGCAGGCGCCGCCCGCCGCATGGGCTGGGAGCGCCGCGGAGCCGCGCGGCGAGAGCGGTGTCCCTGCCCCAGCGCTGCCAGCCGGGACGGCGGCCGACACGGTGCCGGTGACCTGCGCGGCGGCGATGGACGTCGCGACGCCGACGCAGCCAGAGTCCCATGTGACGGCCACGCAGCAGGAGTCCGCCGATGCGGCGGCTGCGGGGAAGGCTCGCGACTCTCCGCTGGCCAGGGCGACTTCAGAGTTGGAGGTCGGTGCCCCGCCCACGCAGCTGGAGTCCGATGAGGGAGGCGTGGAGCTCGCAGTGGAGGCGCTCCCCACCGGCGTGCCGCTGGGCGCGGAGGCGACGGAGGCCTCCGCTGCCCCTGCTTCGCCCAGCCTCTCCCGAGCCAGTCGCTTTCTCGCTAGTCCGTCGCCCCGCGCCAGCGGCGGCGGCGTAGGCTTGGCGCAGCCTAGCGTCGGCGGGGAGCTCCAGGATGGAACGGCGCCAGCCTCTTCACCTCGCGCTGGGCCAGGCAAGCCACCCGCGGGCGAGGGCGTGGGAGCCGCTGGCGTGGCCGGCTGCTCGGTGCAAGTGCCGCCCGCTGCATGGGCTGGGGGCGCTGCGGAGCCACGTGGCGAGAGCGGTGGCTGTGCCCCAGAGTTGCTAGCCTGGACGGCTGCGAGCACGGCCGGGAAGCGCGGCGGCGTCCCACTGCGGAGTCACAAGCGTTTTCTTTCAGAATCTTGGGCGTTGGGCCGCACAGCGCTCAAGCTGCCCATACCCGCCGAGCCAGGCGCGCTACTTGCGGGCGCGGGCCTTGTCGATGGCGTGGCCGGCGGCTCGGCGCAGGCGCCGCCCGCCGCATGGGCTGGGAGCGCCGCGGAGCCGCGCGGCGAGAGCGGTGTCCCTGCGCTGCCAGCCGGGACGGCGGCCGACACGGTGCCGGTGACCTGCGCGGCGGCGATGGACGTCGCGACGCCGACGCAGCCAGAGTCCCATGTGACGGCCACGCAGCAGGAGTCCGCCGATGCGGCGGCTGCGGGGAAGGCTCGCGACTCTCCGCTGGCCAGGGCGACTTCAGAGTTGGAGGTCGGTGCCCCGCCCACGCAGCTGGAGTCCGATGAGGGAGGCGTGGAGCTCGCAGTGGAGGCGCTCCCCACCGGCGTGCCGCTGGGCGCGGAGGCGACGGAGGCCTCCGCTGCCCCTGCTTCGCCCGCCGACGTCTTGCTGGAGCGGGCTGGGCCAGCGCCGCCAGCGGTGCGCTTGGGGGACCTCTGGCGGTCCTCCCGCCGGCAGAGTTTCCGCCAGCGCCGGTGCGCCGGCGCCTCGCGCCGGTTCGGGGCCGCGTGAGCTGCCTGCCGCTGCGGAGGAGCAGAGGTGCGAGGCCGGGCCGGGTCGGCCCGAGGAGGTGGCCACCGGCCGACGTGTGGCCGTGCGCCTCCCGGCAGGGGAGCTGCGGAGCGGAAGCGCGGCCGTGATAATTCGGGCTCGGGCGCTGTGCCCCAGAGGGTGCGTTGCTGGAGCGCAGGGCTGACCAGTCTGTCTCTTTCGTTATTTCCATCTCTCTCTCTCTCTCATCTCTTTCTCTCCCTCGTTCACTCTCTCTCTCTCTCTCTACAGATATCCCTCGCCAGTGAATTAAGAGCACGGGGTCACGAGGGAGACGTGTCTCAGACCCCGCGGTTTTCCGCATGACCAGCTCTTCATCCCGAGGGGCAGTTTTGTCTGACGGCCCTGGGGCTCGCAGAGGGCCCCCGGGCCCCCCGGAATTTCTTGGACGCCTCTCCTCCAGGACCCTTTCTCTTCATGCGAATCTCTCTCTGCCCCAGGAGGAGGAGGAGGAGGAGGAGGAGGAGGAGGAGGAGGAGGAGGAGGAGGAGGAGGAGGAGGAGGAGGAGGGGAGAGAGGAGGAGGAGGGGGGAGGAGGAGGAGGAGGAGGAGGAGAGAGGGAGGAGGAGGAGGAGGAGGAGGGAGGAGGAGGAGGAGGAGGAGGAGGAGGAGGAGGAGGAGGAGGAGGAGAAGGAGGAAGAGGACCCCTCTCCTCTCCTTACCCCTTCCTCGCTCCGTCCGTTGTTCGGGGCCGCGGCTCGCTTGTCAGTGGCAGGGGCCAGTGCCTGTGAGCACGCGTCAGTGATTCAGGCCTTGGAAAATAGCGAACACTCATACCACATTCGTCTGTCAACGCCTCCCCCTCCCCCCAATGTTCAAAATTTGGCGGTGGGTCTGATGAGTTGCACCTCGACCGCAGTCTCCCCCGCGAGTGCCAACTTTGAGTTTGGGGGGGGAGGCCGGGGAGTATTCAATAATTGTTTCCCTCTACCGTAGCAGAGACGGCATCGCGCAAATGGGAATAGCATCCCTTAGGGGAGGCCAAGTGTATTCCAGAACATACGCACCCTCCAGTGGATAGGTGAGCATCAGAGCCCACCACGGGACGCCCAGAGGCTGGATCTTGGTGCATACTGCAGCCTGAGTCATGACCAGTGCGACACCT